AAGATAAGGCATACCTTGTTATTTTTTTTTCTAATAGTCCTAATGGATTTTTTTACTTTTGAATGCAAGTCTAAAGAAGAAAGCAGTCTACTTCTTTAACTGAAAGAATGCATTATCTCTGAAAAACTTTTGTGTCATGCTGTTAGCACTCCACCATGTTTTTGTCACATTGTTCGGGGCATTGATTTAATAATATGGCACAGCAATTGAAGAAAACCTTAGAAACCATTCTTTTATGATTTCAACTGGCATATATTTCACATATTAACAACCTAATATATGCCAGACACTATATTAGGTACAGAAGACAGCAGTGAAATGCATGTACAAGGACCCTCACAAAGTTTATATTCTAGAATAGGGAAGTATAAAGTAACAAAATTTTTTTTAAAAAATACTTTCAGATTGTACTGTGAAGACAGATAAAACTGGGTTTGCATCCTTATATCAACTAGAGGCCCGGTGCATGAATTTGTGTGTAGCTGGGGTCCCTGGAGTGGCCTGCGGAGATCAGGGCCCCAGCTCGCACCCCCACCTCGCAGCCCTGCCTGGCACCCTGCCTTGGCCTGGCACCACCCCCTCACCTGCTCCACCATCCCACCTGCACGGTGCAGTGATTCCTTTACATGCACAGAAGTTGTCTGGGGGACTCCTCAATGTGTGAAACTCAGAGAAGAGAGCCTGGGATAATGGTGTCACCCTTCCTCTAATGATTCCCTTGGAGGACTGTGTGCCTGCTTCCCTTGTGCCTCCATGGGAAAACCATTGCTTCTTTCGCAAGTCAATTTTCCTCAAGATACAGTTAAAGAAGAAAAGAGTCAAGTTGTCACCAACTTAAGACTAACTTAAAACCACAACATAACTAAGCCATGGAAATAAAACCATGGTTGTATTTTCCCCCTAATATTATTTAGACCTGATGTCTTAGGCATTTTTAGGTAACATTTTTTTTTTAATCCTTATCCTAGGACATTTTTTCCATCGATTTCCAGAGAGAGTGGAAGAAACGGAGGGGGAGAAAGAGAAAAACATCAACGTGAGAGAGACACATCGATTGGTTGCCTCCCACAGGCGCCCCAACTCGGGTGGGGAACCTGTAACCGAGATACATGCCCCTGACTGGAATCAAACCCTTGACCTTTGGTCTGTGGGCCAATGCTCTAACCATGAGCCAAACCAGCCAGGGCATAACATGTATTTTTAAGGTAACAACCTCATTTTACAAATAAAAAGTCTGTAGTTTGTGGAGGTTCACTGACTGGTCCAAGGAACTACTGGTGTGAAATGCCTCGGCTAAAGATTAGAACTGAATTCTGACTCTTTTGCCCTTGCTCTTTCTACTTTTTTCACCCCATTTTAATTAATCATTCTAATGTGTTAAATACTTGTGTCTTTGTATATTTGCTTCCAAAATATGCCTTGTGTGTTTTCGTGCATTGACCTTAATTTGCATTCTGTCTTTTCTCCTTTTCATTCAGCACTGTTTTTATTTTTAAATAATTCTTTATTGTTGAAAGTGTTACATGTGTCCCCTTTTTTTGCCCATTGACCCCCTCCAGCCTGCCCCTGCCACCACTATCCCTCCCCCTCCCCCCCCAGCCCAGGCCCTCACCACCCCATTGTCTGTGGCCATGGGCTGTGCATATATGCATACAAGGTTCTTGGTTGATTACTTCCCACCCACCCACACTCCCCCGCCTTCCCTCCAAGATTCTGCACTCTGTGCCATGCTTCCTTGTCTCTGGATCCACTCCACGTTCATCAGTTATTTTGTTACTTAGATTCCACATATGAGTGAGATCATGTGATACTTGTCTTTCTCTGACTGACTTATTTCAGTTAGCATGACACTCTCCAGGCCCCTCAATGCTGTCTCAAAGGGTAAGAGATTCTCCTTTTTTACTGCTGCATAGAATTCCATGGTGTAAATGTACCACAGCTTTTTTATCCGCTCGTCTACTGATGGGCACTTGGACTGTTTCCAGATCTTAGCTATTGTAAATTGATTTCAGCAATAGTTTTAAATCTCTCCATATTACTGCTTACAATGAATTGCTTCTATCTGCTGACAGTACACACTGGTGTCCACCACATTTCATCTATCCTCTCCCCCAGTGACAGACACCCAGATTACTCCCAACTCCCTGTTATCTCAGATAACATTGTAATGATTAGCCAGTTGTCTTGTTTGAGACCTGTGTAAGAATTCATTAGGCTATATATACCCAAGAGTGGAATTGCTGGTTTATACACTATATGTAGGCTTAATTTGATTAAGTAGTGCCAGACTGCTCTCCAGAATAGCTACACCACTCAACACTCTTAACCACAGTGTGTGAGGGTTCCTCTATCCTCATATCTCCACTAAGGCTTAATGACCCAGTGTTTGGATGTTTGCCAGTCTAATAGTAGAAACTGATATCTCATTTTAATTAGCATTTCCATAACTACTAATGAATTTGAGTGTCTCTTCACATGTTTGTAAGCCATTTGAATTTTATATCTTTTGATCAGATTCCTATTGTTATTTTTCTGCTTGATTTATAGAAGTTCTCTGTATATTGATCCCCTGTTGGTTTTAAATACTTACAAATGCCTTTTTTATTATACTTTTATTTGTATATTTAAATTCAGAAAGTACTTTCTGTTCCAATTCATTGACAGTTTGGGGGTTTTGAAAAATCTTTCAGTCTGCAGGCCGACGCTCTATCTACTAAGCCAAACCGGTTTGAAAAATCTTAAGTAGATGTTGTACTTTCTCAGAATGCTCTTCTTCATCTATTATTATCTTTCAGTTCTTCTAGTTTAATTTATGAATGTGATTTTCCTGAAAAATTTCCCGATGATTAACTATCCTTGCATTCCTGGCCTATACCCTTCTTCATAATTTATTGTTAGATTGAATCGTATGAAAATGCTTTTCTTATATCAGAAAATGGTCAATATTTGGCTATATCATAGACGTCAAATTAAATATTTTAATACACTTGAATTAAATTTATTGTTTTTAAATAAAAAATTTTGTGTTCATGATTATAAATAAGACTATAATTTTCTTATTATTATTTTTAATCCTCATCCAAGGATATTTTTTCCATTGCTTTTTATTTATTTTTTATTTTATTTTTATTTTTTAATATATTTTATTGAGTTTTTACAGAAAGGAAAGGAGAGAGATAGAGAGTTAGAAACATCGATGAGAGAGAAACATCGACCAGCTGCCTCCTGCACACTCCCCACCGGGGATGTGCCCGCAACCACGGTACATGCCCTTGACCGGAATCGAACCTGGGACCTTTCAGTCCGCAGGCCGACGCTCTATCCACTGAGCCAAACCGGTTTTGGCTCCATTGCTTTTTAGAGAGAGTGAAGGGGGTAGGGGTGTGCGGGGGGAGAGAAACACTGATGTGAGAAAGACACATTAACTGGTTGCCTCCTACATAGCCCTGACCAGGGCCAGAGATCAAACCTGCAACTCAGGTTTTAAACTGGGAATTAAACCTGTGACCCTTCAATGCCATACCAGCCAGGGAAATTTTCTTTTCTTGATTTTGGAATCAGAATTAGAATTATACAGCCTCAAAAATGGGGTGGATAACTTTTTGTACATTTTCCATATTTTGGAACAGCTTACATAGGATAAAAATTTATTATAACTTGAAATCTGATAGAATTCAAATGTAAAAATATCTAGGACTTGAAAGTATTTTTGAAAGGTAATATTCTTGACGATCATTTCAGTTTATTTAATAATTACTAATCTATTGTAGTTTTACATTTAGTCTTGTACTAAATATGTTATTTTAAAATTTTGAGCAATTTATCTGTTATCTATATTTTAAAATGTGTCAACATTTAGTTCATTGATATACTATTCATAATAATATTATTTTAAAATCTGTCTGTAGTTATTTTCCTTTTCTTGTCCTATAATTTATTTGTGTCATCTAAACCATAAAGTAGAGATAGCAAAGTGAGACAGAGACCGGATAAAATAATTATAAAATACCTGTAAGCCATGAACCATTGAGTTTGGTTTTTTTAAATATATTTTATTGATTTTTTACAGAGAGGAAGGGAGAGGGATAGGGAGTTAGAAACATCAATGAGAGAGAAATATCAATCAGCTGCCTCCTGCACACTCCCTACTGGGTATGTGCCCGCAACCAAGGTACATGTCATTGACTGGAATCGAAGCTGGGACCCTTGAGTCTGCAGGCCAACGCTCTATCCACTGAGCCAAACCGGTTAGGGCAACCATTGAGTTTTTTAACATGTATGTTAGTTCATTTTTCCAGCATCCAAGCAAGTAGGTATTCTAATGCCCATTTCATAGATGAATTCCATAGAGACAAAATAATATATTAAATATTAGGTATTGAGTAAATGATAGATTCGCAGATCGAATTCAGGGCTGATAGCTAAATCAACGTTCTTAATCCCACTTGTTTTTACTCACATAGCACTCAATATTATTATTTTGTAACCTTTGCATACTTTAAAGAAATGTAATTATTTAAAAATAATTGTTTATTTTCTTTCCTACTGGACTGCAAATCCACGACAACAGGAACATGTCTGCTTTGTTCAAAATAATATCTCAAGGACCAATCACTTTGCTTGGCATATAGCTGGTGCTCCGTAAATATTCTTTGTCTCCGCCCTGCCCCCCCCCTTTTTTTGGAGAGGGTGCAGGGAGGCCAGGATTTTCACCACATTGTTTTGACCATTTTATGTGAGAAAATAACCCATGGAAAGCCTAGGCCAGTGTGAAACTGGACGATCAGGAAAGATTTTATGGGTGAACTACCTTCTTAGATAGATGTAAAGACTTCTTAACTGTAACTTATACATAAGGCTATGAATGACCTCAAGCACTTCATTTTCCAAAAGGACCATTCATTGTAGAGGAATCACAGTATGGTTAGGGGAATGCTGTCATCTCTGTAATATATATTTAACTGCTCTCTTTAATTTTCTCTTTATCTTTATTTTAATAGAAAAAATCAGGCAAAGATATGCAGATCTGCCAGGAGAATTACACATTATTGAACTTGAAAAGGATAAGAATGGACTTGGACTCAGCCTTGCGGGCAATAAGGACAGGTCACGCATGAGCATCTTTGTGGTGGGAATTAACCCAGAAGGACCCGCGGCCACGGACGGACGGCTGCGTATTGGAGATGAACTATTAGAGGTAAGGGGCATATATTTTTTTACTTCTCTTCTGGTGAAGTGAAGGGGTACAGGAGATAGTGTGCAATACAGTGAGGTGAAGGAGAAGAGTGTTGACAAATTATATTTTCTTCAACTATTTAAAATCATTTTTCAAAGCAAAAATAAAAACCATATTGTCACGTGCAAATGTTATTTGCTGCTTGAGTAAAAACAAATCTCTCAAAAATAATTTAGAAGCCTTTAAGTAAAATCTCATGGACACATATTAAAAGAATAAGTCTTGTTTTTAATATTAATTTTTAAAAGTTCAAAACTAATTTGATTATGTATTAATATAATATTATTAGCATTTATCAAAATGCTCAGGGTTTTGAATTAACCGTAAGTATGACAATTGTATGTATTTTTGTGTTTTGTTTTTACTATTTTACATAGTAACTATTTTTGTTTTTATTAACATTTGTTTTTGCTATTGTAATTTAATTTTTTGGAAAAGCGCCAGAGCCAATGAAACCTTGTGATCTGACTGTCAAGGAATGGTTACTATCGGTGAAGCTGATGATGTGGGTTAAAGCCACATAAGAACAGGATAGAAATAAAAGAAGATAATTACTCTCTAGATGTTTTCATCAATAAACAGGAGCACTGGTATTTTATTTCTCTGTCTGGGATCTTATTAGATACCAGTAACAAATGAGTGTGGCTGCAGAGTAATGAGACCGCTTTACAGGCCATACACAAAAGTCAACACTGTGTACAGGGGATTGGGAACTGGACTTCGAAGACCTACTTTAACTCCTATCAATTCTTTCAGGTATTCGTTGCATTTTAGAAGGAGTTTAACAGGGTACCTGGCACACAGTTGACTGTTATTTGGATCATATTTCCTCCCTTGCAGACAGAAACTTCAATACCTCTTTTCTAGACTAGAAGCTGGAAAAACTTTCCTGGGTGGAAAAAAAAAATAACAAATTGCCATATTGTATACCTCCTACTCCTTCCTTTGACTTTCTGAATTTGATCCTTTTGTTGCTATTTAGCAACTTTAATCTTCATTCAGAGATGAAAAGGGAAAGAAGATTAACCATGGCAATAATTTAATCCCACTCCGCTCCTCTCAATTTCTCTTGTTAAAAAAAATATTAAAATATGTTGGGACACATTCTAGCATCACATATTTTAGCTGTTTATCTTCTCTAATCCTCGGTTACCTTCTTTATCAAGTGGAAATTATTCATTCAGCAAGTATCTTTTTTTAAATATTGTTATTGATTTCAGAGAGGAAAGGAGTGGGAGAAAGAGAGATAGAAACATCAATGATGAGAGAGAATCATTGATTGGCTGCCTCCTGCACATCCCCTACTGGGGATCCAGCCTGAAACCTGGGCATGTGACCAGAATTGAACCTGGGACCCTTCAATCTGCAGGGAACCAACGTCTGTCCACTGAGCCAAATCAGCCTAGTGATTGTGTGGCAGCAACCTCAGAGGGTGTGATGAGAATTAAGGAGAGAAGATAAAGGCAGGTTTTGTTGCACTGTCTGGCACATGGTAGTAATACCTTCAAACTTTTCAGATGCTATTGGTAAAATAATATTTTGCATGGACTTTTATATTTCAGTTCTTTTGGGTTTGTTTATATTCATGCATTTGCCTCTGAAGGGGTCTCCCAGAGGGAAACCATCTTCTTCTCCTCACCAGCTCTACACAGAGTCTTGAAAAGCTGAGAGAATGGAAAAATGCACATACTGGATTCGTAATCAGTTATAACCCATCTTCTCACATGACTTTTGGCTCTAGGTCAGGGGTGACAGGGGAAAATATTCCTTTGGAAAATTGTTTCCTGGTGTCTTTTTATAGCTGAGAAAAAATTTCAATCATTTCTCTATGATATGTGAGGAATTTGTATATAGCATGATACTCAATCCAGTGTGCTTTTGAACTGAGAATAAGACATTGATTTCATGATGAGTGCCAGGGAAGGTGAAGCCAGGAGTTACCACAGTAGTCCTTTGCCTATTGCATTGTGTTAAACGATGGCATTATGATATCACGGCATGCGCATTATGATAGAGGCATGTACAGTGGTTCTTAGATTATGCTAACTAGATTTCCAGGTTAGGGCACATCTGTGTATTTGCTTATCCACCCACGCTCCATTTATTTTTTGTGGCTTCTCTCCTCAATTGAGGTCACGTTATCCCTGCCTTGATTATTTTTACCATCCCGCCATTTGCTCATATCACTTCTCATTATTGCTTTTTTTGTTATTGTTATGTTGTTACTTTATTCCAGCCTCCTTTTATTTATAGTTGATCTGAGTTGTTTAAGCCCTAACCTGAGGCTAATTTAGAGGAGGTAGGAAAGGGACGGGTGGGACATACATGGTGGCTTCTTCGAAGTCAGAGACTCTGCTTCTCTCCCGGAGCCTGCCGGTGGCTGATTTTTGGCAGGATGTCGCCAGCAGTTTTGTTGCTGAGCGACTGCCTTGCTCCCGTGGAAGAGCAGTCAGCGAGTTCTGCCGATCGATGGCCCAGTTCATGTACAAAAGAAATCTTACGTGAAGCCCCCAGAAGACAATGTGATTAAGTCTCAGCTTCTCTGCCCTTTACTGCGATGCTAGCGGGGTGGGGGTAGGAGACTCTGAATTAATTTCAAAATGCATTAACATATAATTACCATGTAGACTGGAGTGAGACTTGCTCTAGAGTATTGGCTTTCCCTAAGCAATTAGTCCCAGAAAATACACGAGCCTGCTCATGGTGCTGTCACAGGAATATAGGATTTATTTATAATCTTCCCTACAGTGCCCGTGTGGGAAGAGAGAGCCGATAGTGCTGTGCCGGGAATTGGAGTGATTTGTCAGGTCACCGAAGCAGCCAGAGGAACCTGTGTGGGTGGCACAGGAAATGCACAATTGATTGGGGTGGCGTGGAGGGCTGTGTCTCGTCTGGCTCACACATCCTTCAAGATGGAGGAAGTACATTCCCTTTGTAACATTTACCTGCAGGATCACCACAACTAAATCTTGTTATTTTGCATGTGTATATGTTTATTTAAGAACCATCAAAAATAAAAAGCATGAATATGTCCCTTATTTGCCAGGGATAAAGACATACAACTACAGGTAAATTCAGTTTAGTAGTATTTATTTGTCTAGTAGTATTTATTTGATAAAAGAAAAGAAGTGGAACCATAAAGGTTAAGTGACCGACCCATGTACCTGCCCACACACCAGTCTCAGCAGTCAATTCTTCACTCTCTGCTCATTGACACTGAATTATTTTTGAAGCCTTTTGGAAAGCTTGGGTGCAATATAGGAGCAGAGTACAGTAGTAAATAAATTAAAAGCTTTTGTGCATCCATAGATAAGATTCTAATTTATAGTCAAAAGCTTCTGTCATCTTAGATTGGCTCCTTTAAATTAATATCATACATGGATTTATAAATTGTACTTTTTAATGCAATAATTATGCCCTAAGAGACTTCATGTAATAAAATATCCCATTGCAGAAACACTAGTTTACAGAGCAGAAAGTAAAGGATTTCAAAATTGCAAAACAATTTCTTTTTCCTACAGTTTTATTAACACAGATAGATTTACAATAGCTAAACATGCAAAAAGGAATTGATTGGCCAATGGTTTCATGAGTGTTCAGACATATCAAATTTTACATTTTAAGCATGTGATTGATTGTATATCAATTATATCTCAGTAAAGCAGTTAAAAAATCAGTTAATCAAAAAATAAAAAAAAAAATAAAAAAATCAGTTGATCACCTAACCGGTTTGGCTCAGTGGATAAAGCATCGGCCTGCGGACTGAAGGGTCCCAGGTTCGATTCCAGTCAAGGGTATGTACCTTGGTTGCGGGCACATCCCCAGCGGGGGCTGTGCAGGAGGCAGCTGATCGATGTTTCTCTCTCATCGATGTTTCTAACTCTCTATCCCTCTCCCTTCCTCTCTGTAAAAAATCAATGAAATATATGTTTTTAAAAAATTTAAAAAAAAAACAGTGGAAAAAAAGAAGAAAAAATCAGTTGATCAAACCTGACTAAAATAAATACTGTAAGCAAGTCCTGAATATGATCTTCCCATGCAGAGCTGTAGTCACCCCATTGTGTGACTCTTAAAAATAGTCTACAGCCTAATTAACAAATTGGAAAGCAGGCAGAAGAATGGGGTCAGCCTCACACACAAAACAGTGGAGGACCTCTCCTGTGTGTGCAACATTTTTCCTTTCTTCAAAGTGCAATATCGTCCACTCTCCTCCCCAGCCCACCCCCATCCCTGCCATTATAGCACTGTAGTCAGTAGCTGTGTCTTGCTAAATCATTTTCCCTCAGTAATCTACTGTGTTCTACCTCATTTGAGTTATATAAAGATGTACTCATTAAGAGACCGATTGGGAGATATGGAAATGGGAGAGCTGTGTTGGGAACTCAGCTAACATCGAATACTTATTATTTATGAGGCAGTGCTAAATTTTTTAAATGCATTCTCGCTCTCAACTTTTACAAGGGCCCAGTGAAAGTTGGTGCTCTTTTAACCCCTGTATTACAAAAAAGGAATCTGAGGCGCCCAAGGGCAGAATAAACATGTGAACACTAGCTTTTCTGACTCTAAGCTCTTTGCTTTTAAGTTATTTAGTTCTTGGATTAATAGACCTTCTAGAACAGGGGTGGGCAAACTTTTTGACTCAAGGGCCACAATGGGTTTTTAAACTGGACCGGAGGGCCGGAACAAAAGCATGGATGGAGTGTTTGTGTGAACTAATATAAATTCAAAGTAAACATCATTACATAAAAGGGTACGGTCTTTTTTTTTTTTAGTTTTATTCATTTCACCGGCCCGCGGGCCATAGTTTGTCCACGGCTGTTCTAGAAGGTAATCCGTGAATTTCTCCTCATTTCGTATTTTGGGTAGCTCTAGATTAATGCAGTTACAATATCTGAAGTAGTTTCTCACAATGCAATACCCTGTTACTCTTTTTATTTTCTAAAAATGTAATGCCACTTTGA